TTGATATATTAAATAAATAAGGTAAGCATCATCTTTATATATGTTAACACGTATTTTTCCAATATAAACCATTATATGCGATTGTTACTGTATTGATGTAAGCATCGTAAAATAAGACATGGTCGATTTTAAAAGCTGAAAATAATATTATAAAAACACTGTTTAAAATTTTAGTTATCATAGAAATGTATATTATATTTGTACATACCGTGCTAAAAGTTTCCATTGACATTATGAATAATTTACCAGCTTTTATTTGACACGGTTTAGTAGCACGTAGTAATGTCAATCTTAAAAGATGTCTTGATCTCAGTGAAATATTATACCAATTGCAGCCATAACTATTAATACGTTCAACAAATTAATTTTTTATACAATTCCTATTTGCCTATCAATAACTTCTAACTAATACGAAATATGAATACGAAATTTGAAATATAAAATAATTAAAATTACGAAATATGTAATACTAAAATAGTGTTAATTTTATACATTTTTCTTCAATTACAATTTAATTTTTTATGAATTAATATAAGAATTGTTTTAATTTCATTTATTAATAAATGCATACATTACGTCATAAAATTCACTGCTATGATCGATTAGTCGTTGAGATGTTAAACTCAAATAATATATGTGTACCAATTGCGCTAAAGTGGCAGCGAGAATTCTGATGATTTCGTCGATTTGATTATCTACCATTACCAACTTAAATGATATGTAATTTAATTAGATATCTTTTAAAATAGATATATCATATCATTATTATACATAAAATTTTTAAATTTAGTTTAAATATTTACCTCAGCTGTGCTAAAAGTTAAGCATATAACAACATTTCCCAACATTAACAGAAATGAAGTTGCATAGGCAGATGAAAGTAGATCAGAAAATCTCCGCGAAAAAAGATAAAACAGATATATTAATCTACTTGTATCAAAAATTTAATATCAATTAATCTAATTAATCTATATAAAATTTGTCATAAAATTACTTTACATAACGTATGACTAAATAAAAAATTAATTAAATATTACGTAGAACAGTCCCGTATTTCATATTATAGATTTTTTAAATTTTCATTTTCAAATTATGTTAAATGTATCTAAAAACATTACATACTTTAAAACATGTTTGTATGATTTGATGCAGCTGATTACGACATGATACGCTTTATCATCCGCGATATTCGGCTTGAGCAACACAAATTCTGAATTCCCTATACGTTCTATGTTGTACCTATTTTACAAAAATATAAACTAAATTTGAAATATTCTTTATCATTACAGCTTTGTTCGCAAAAACAACTTACTTTATACACTTGAACAACGCGCAAACATGCTGAATGCAAAGTATAAAGAAAGTGTCGACAGCTATCGGCACGGAGACTACGTAGAATACGCTAATAAATCCGTGAAGCATCAATAAGTTGAAATATTTGTCGATGTCAATAACGTGTTCTATGCGATACAGAAACCTGGCTGAGTATGTTTCGTTCGTCGGTAAAAATATATATATGCCACTAATGATTACCGGTGTTGTGGTATAGAAGAGCCACATAGCATAAATAGCAGCTGGAATGAGTCATTTCCTTTTCTCAAAAATATTAATCCTTTATTAGAGAGAAAAGCTCTTTTATACAAGAGCATTTTGAATGTAATTATTAAAATAAAAAATACTGATTATAGGCAGTCTGCCTATAGAACTCTTATAATAGTCTCTTATAATAGAGAAAAAAAAAGAGGAATAAGAAAAAGAGAAAATTTAAATTGAAAAATATAATCTACTGAAATACTTAGATTCAAAATAATATAGATAAGAATTATCAATTTTTTGTATATTTCTGGATTTTCAATACTGAACCTACGATAGAAATTTTTATTTGTTATGAAATAAAAGTTATTTACTTGCGTATCGTATTGAGAAGATCCTGCATTCTTTTGCATAACAGCATAATATTTCTTTTTCTGGTCCCTCATGTTTTACTTTCCAAGTCTCTTCAACATCCTCCAGAAGTTTTTTCATCTGCATCTCGAAGAAATCGTGTAATTTACAATTATAAAATGATCCGATTAATTTCGCATGTAGCAGAAACATAAAATACGAACTTTGTAATTAACACACACGCAATTAACAAGTTTCACGATGATAAAGTTATTCACCAGTAACGGCGAGGCATTTTCCATGATAATGCTGAGATCCGTTATTCCAGCAACTAATCCCCAAAACTAGAAAATCGAAAACGAAGCTATCAGTTAGTTTTGATTCCAATAGATTGCTATCGTACATATCTTTCGAACACCTCTAATGCCGTCAGAGTGAAAAGGAAGAACACCATGATGCAAAACATCAGATTATTCTTCAGTCGCGATTGAAACGGCCACTGACCGATTATGGACAGGAATCTTTTGTTGAGATAATAGTAGCGATTATCATAAAAAGACATTTTGTTATAGCAAGATGGCAAAGGAATATTCAATGAAACAATCACATAGCTCGAATATTCACTTTTAGCCGCAAGACTTATCTCGTATTCCTTTAGAAACAATTTCGCTAAAAACGACACTGAGACAATATTCCTCAGCGTAGCAAACTATTACGCATGTATAAATAATGAATCGTGCTTTTCTCAATGCACAACCCTTCGTAAACGATGAGATATGACTGCGACTGTGACATTATATATCTTTCGCATTATAAATTAGGGGAAACTTCTAAAACTATAAGATAAAAGTTTGTGCTAAACACAGAAGGTTCGGGATTGACTTTGAAATGATTTATTTCTTTCAAAATGAGCAAAACGAGAAAATCATTCAGATGAAAAAATGGAAATAATTAAATGTCTTATACACGGCTCTCTTAAAAGTGGAAATTGGTTACGTATTTAATTATAATATTATAATTATAATAGTTGTTTAATAATAACGATGACAGCAAGGTGATGATGTATGTGCACATATATTATATTAGATTCTTATTTTACATAAAAGATTTTAATGTTACTTGAAATGTTTAACTGAGCCGTCTCAAAATATAAATATATAATTACGCTTCCTAATATAAATAGGAAAAATGTTGCATTCGTAGATGAAAGCAGATTCGAACGTCTTTGAAATAATTAAATTAATAAATCTATATGAAGTTTTATATAAATAAATCAGTTTTCAAAGGCAATTAATTAGTTAACAAAAAATAAATAGTTTTATATTTAAATCAAATAAATTATTAAAGTTTTATGAAATGACTTTTTTAAACTTATTTAATAAATTGTTTAATATATTTTACCAAAGAGAATTTTAATAAAAATAAAACACTATACATGAAGCAAATTCTAACTTTGTATATAAATCAAAATAATAATTATAATAAAAAGCATAAAATTAATTGATTAATTAAATTAAACAAAAATTATGTGTAAGTATTTCAGTTTATTCTACTAATATAATTTTTATTTTTTTTCCAATATATTTATTCTAATGATTTGATCAGTTGATATATCATTCAGTTGATACGATGTAATCAATAACTTTTACCATATGTAAATATGTGCACGTAAGTTAGTGGAAATAAAAAATAGTACAGTCGACACTTATACTAGAATTCTCTCACCAGAAAACCTTCATCATTATCGGAATATAAAAAATCAACTTTTATTAAGTTGAAAAGCTCAATATGATATAAAGTAATTTTAATATAATATATAATATATAATATTTATAATTATACTTTTCATTTTTATTTTTTTACTCTGTTTTAATTGCACATAGTGACAAATTTGTTGTATTTATATTGTTAACAATTCAATGATAAATCTACTAATGATATTAATTCGTTAAATAATTCTTGAAAAAAAAAAGTTATTAAATAATAATAAATGGTAACAGAC